GTTTTGGGCTTGTCTCAGGGTGTAATGTTTAGAATTTGGTAGGCATTTAGGGGGTTAAGAGTTTAGTCTAGGATATTTTGAGGTGGGTAGTTACCGTTGTATGAGCCTTATACTACAAGGTCTATATATATATATATATATATATGTTATATAAATATATATGGAAGCCTTGCAGAAGCCCTATATAAACCCTAAACTCCCCACCTGTAGTTTTCTCTAAACCCTTAACCCTTAACCCTTAACCCTAAACCCTAAACCCTAAACCCTAAACCCTTAACCCGTTTAAGGGGTTTCGGGTGTGGGGCGCGGCTTCCGGGGGTAGGTCTTCCCCAGAAGCGCTGAACCAGTTCATCCTCCTGGCTCCTCCTTCGGTTTAGGGTTTAGGGTTTAGGGTTTAGGGTTTAGGGTTTAGGGTTTAGGGTTTAGGATCTAAGGTTTAGGGTTTTTTTTTAATGTGTAGTGGCCTTTTCTCCGCAAAGCCTGCCTCGGTCGAGGCTTACACATCCTGCACACTTTCAAAAACCCACATCTATCACAGGGTTCAAGGTTTAGGGTTTAAGGTTTAGGGTTTAGGGTATACGGTCTAGGGCTTAGACACAAAGCCAACCAGGAGATCCGAAGATAGGTTTTAGGGGTACCTTCTATGTTGAACCGCTAGTAAAGCTCATGGCCTACAGAGCCAAGTACTCTGTCACAGCCCATTGCCAAGCTTGCTCACTGCGTCTCCAAGAGCAAGCACACCTCCTTGATCTAGGGTACCCTGAACCCTCAAAGCCTTATGATAAGCCCTACAGAAACTGTTTGAGGAAACACTACTGCATAGGCTTGGAGGTTTAGGGGGGTTCGGCGGCTTTCGTGGCGGTTCAGGGCCCTAGGGCCTTTACCGTTTCAGAGCGTTTTGGCGAACCTTCTATCCGCTGCTATGGCAAACCCTAAACCCTAAACCCTAAACCCCTAAACCCTAAACCCTAAATTATTGCCTTTTGGTAGGGGTTGTATGGAGTTTTCTAGGATGTAAGCTGCCGCCTGAAGCCGAGGATGGGCTTCCAAGCTTGAGCAGGAGACCCATGATTCATAAAGCCTGGGTTTAGGGTTGAGGGTTTAGGGTTTAGGGTAGGGTTTAGGGATTAGAGTTTAGGGTTTAGGATTTAGGGTTTAGGGTGGGGGCTTAAGGCTCAGGGTCCCGGTTTTGGGCTTAGGGCTTAGGGCTCAGGGATTTTTGGTTGGCTAAACCCCTACATCCTACAACCCTCAAGCCCTAAAGTTCATGGCTTTGCTGAAGCCGATGCTGGTTGGGTGTTGAGGAGTTTATTTTATGTTTATGGGTTCCAGGTTGTTACAAGCAGGAGACCTGCGTCTAAAGTCTATAAACCCTAAACCCTCAACAACCGTGGTACATCTGAGGGCATCGGCCTTGAATGAGCCCTCGGTCCCGCGATTGAACAGGGGGCTTGAACCCTATGAACTAAACCTAAAACCTAAACTCTAAACCCTAAACCCGAGTCCCTCTTATATAACTTAGGTAGTTGTTTGCAGTGGGGATCCTCCTTCATCTAGGTTGGCCCCTCAAAGCCTCGAACATACTCATAAATAAGATCCTCTTAAGCCCAACAAGAGAAAGCCTCAAGTGTCCCAGAGGCCTACCTAGCAAGATCCAAGCCACCAGATCGGTCAGGAGCACGAGGTAGATGATGAACAACCGTCCTTGGAGGGTGAGGCATATGGAGCTTAGGGTTTAAAAGGCATATGGGGCCTGGGGTTGAAAAAAGGCGTATGAGGCTTAGGTGAAAAGGTTTGGGGCTTTTGGCGTAGGGATTTTCGATAAACCGTGAGTCAGTGAGGCGACTTCAAGACACCGAAACCAACGAAACCTATCCGAGGACGTCTCTTCCACGAGCTCAAACCCCATAGACGGATGCGGTTCCGAGCCTACGCTCCAATTCTTCTGGCTCGAGCTAGCTTCTTCTGGATCCTAAATCGAAAGCCCCCGACCATGAACGCCATGAACCCTAAATTCCTAAACTCTACCAAACAACCTTAGATGAACCTAGAACCCCTTCAGAAGAATCGATCAGCCTTTCGCCTGAACCCGTACCCTCAAATTCAAAGAAACTCTGCTTCGGCCAATCTCCTTGGCCTCCAGCTTTGCTACCCGAAACCCTAAACCCTAAACCCTATGGGTCACCGCAGGGAGATCCCCAGTGGTGAAAGCGACTACAGGTGCCGGGCGATCAAGGCTGGGAGCTTGTCTAAATCTAGAAATAGGTATAGGGTTTAGGGTTTAGGGTTCGGGGTAGGTATAGTATAAGACTATCGAGATATTGGGGGGCCCCGACACTGAACCCTTGTAGCAGAGGGTGCTATAAGGCTTCTAGGGGGTCTTATCGGGTTCCGCGTGGAAGCCTGAAAAGGTCATGGGGCATATGCATCCCGACTCCCCGGAAAACCGGCCCATCCAAGCTCCGCCACATCCGTGGACCCTTGAGAATCTACGTCTCGCAACCCAAATTGCAGTAGATTCTCGCGGTCTTAATTTTCAGGCTGAGCCATGCGGCCACGAGTATGGGGTTTGGGGTCCCGGGTCTGCGTTGTGCTCGGCAGGAATGGTAGTATGAATCACGAGAAGAGAAATCTTGGCTGCGCTGAAAGGTGGCGAGGTATGAAGAATAGCGAGCAAGCACAACAAGCACCCTAAAGAGCAGAAACGATACTCCGATATGGCAGTTCTACAGCATACGCAGCTGTAGTGTAGACCCTGGAAAGCAAAGGTCCACCACTTTTGGACCCCTATAGTTGACAAAAGCCTTCCTTTTCGTGAATGAACCTGTGTTGAAGCCTTCTATCCTGCCCCGAAACCCTAGTTCAAACCCAGAGCCCCTGAATCCCTGAATCCATGAATCCCTGCACCTTGCACCCTAAACTCCTTGTGGCACACAAAGCTTCGAAGCAAGATGTTTCGCTGCAGCTGACCAGACTTCCTCTCTCCGCCCACAAGCTGACCTGGAAAGATTCGAAGACCCGGTTTTGTAGGTGTCGCTCTGGCTAACGATTCTTGCGCTTACTCAAGCTGTAAGCAGTGTAGGCGAAGACCCTCCTCCCTAACGCCTTAACCCCCATCCCAGAACCCTGGACCCTTAACCTTTAATCGGAAACTCTAGATCCTAAACCCTAAACCCTAAACCCTAAACTCTAAACCCTAAACCCTATAGTGTCTGGAACTGCGCGTCTGGGCTTTGAGTCACGGGTTCACGGTTTAGGCAATGCCGGCAGGTAGAATCTGGAACGAGTGCGTGCGACTATTTCAGGGTTTAAAAGGGCTTAGGGTTGAGACTATCGCAATGACAGGTGCATGCAGCAAAGACGGAACAGCAGGTTCAGGGCTTTAGGGTTTTGGGGTCTGGGGTCCGGTTTGGGGTTTTAAGGTTCAGGGCTTAGGGTTGAGCCATGGGGATCGAAGGCGGAATCACACGGACAGTTGTTTGTGGTCGCTAGGACTCGGGTGCCTCCTCCGGATGCCTTCAAGCGCGACGTGATCACCTGGGCACCATGCCTAAACAGCAGAACACTGATGAGAGCAAGAACACAAGAACATGAGTGTATGGTGGCAATATGCTACATGTAGGCAGAAGGAGAACAGTATGGACGAGAAGAACATGATTCCGAAGGAACAAACAAACTGCCCGGCCCAATCTGGGCCACAAGGACTGCAAGGCAAGAAGTTTCAATGTCTCTTCGCTACCAGAGGCTTCGTGGTGTGCTATCGGGGCCTTCAAGAGCAGAATAGGCTGGTTGGACGGCGGATTTCTGGGGCAGAGTACAACAGGATTGTTTAGTCGTCTTCAAGAACTGAGAAACCACCCTAAACCCCTAAACCCAACACCCAAAAACCCAAAACCCAAAAACCCAAAACCCTAAACCCGAAACCCAGAGGCTCGAGTTTTCTAGACCAGCGCCTTGAAAGGAGCTGATGCCTAGGGTTTAGGGTTTAGGGTTTAGGGCTCATCCTATTTAGGGTTTAGCGGCTGCAACGCCGAACCCACGCCGAGGAGGCTCCCGTTCAAGACTTCCAGCCACAACTGTTGTTAGCGTTTTGAGTTTGGGCTTTGAGTTTGGATGTTAAGTTTGGGTTCGGAGTTTGGATTTTGAGTTTGGGTTTTGAGTTTGGGCTTCGAGTTTGGGTTTTGAGTTAGGGTTTTGAGTTTGGGGCGGTGTCTCCGCAAATGCTCTCCTACGTTGCTACCTGGGCCTTACCTTGCAGGACATTGCCTAGGCCCTAAACCCTAAACCCCTAAACCCCGAACCTTAAACCCCAAAACCCTAAACCCCAAAAAACCTGAACCTTAAACCACAAATCTGTCCGCCAAAGCCGCCATGCACAGCAGCGCAATAGCTCTGAAGTAGATCCCCAGCCTCAGATCCATCTGAGCCACTACCAGGGGTTGAGAGTTCAAAAATGTAAGGTCTACACTAAGGCTTTCGGCTTTGGGGCTTTGGGGGTTTTAGGGGGTTTAGGCTTCAAGGGTTTAGGGTTTAGGGTTTAGGGCTTCGGGGGGTTTTAGGGGGTTTAGGCTTCAAGGGTTTAGTACATGCAGAGGTTTCAAGCTTTGGGGGTTTAGGGGGCTCGGGTTTCGAGACTTAGTGGGGCTGGATGTCTAAGGGTTTAGCGTAGGGGCTAAACCCTAAACCCAAACCCCTAAACCCGGGCGTCAAGAAGCTCGAGGTGTTTGCATTTAGGGTTTGGGGCTCCAGGTTTATGTTGGGGGAGCCGTCTTCGAACAGAGCTTGAGGGTATCATGTGGTAACTGTTTTCCGGAATCCCGAGCAATACTTGTTACGCACGATGAAGTATCATGGGACTTTGTAAAGGTATGATACCTTGGTTGGTGCTACAAGCAAGTGTAGCTATAGTTCCCTCAGGTATAGCCCTAGTTACTAAGTCCCCTAAACCCTAAACCCTAAACCCTAAACCTGAGTACAGCTGGGCTCCTGGCAGCAGCAACTGCGTCATCTTGCAGACGAAGCCGTTTGGCGGCCGGAAGTCGGGGCAGTCTGAGCTACCTCTGAAGGGTTTAGGGTTTAAGGTTTAGGGTTTAGGGTTTAGGGTTTAGGGTTGAGGCTGTACAGGCCAAGGCCCATGATACAGGGGCCTCAATAATGAGAGTAGGGTTTTGGCATATACTTGCTATGCTATGGTTATATAAAGACTATAAGGGACATTATGTCCGCTTCTTGCGACCCCTATTTTCGTCTGAGAAGGATCTGGTTGGGCATCGTTCTTCCTCGGGGAAGATACTGCTCTGGCTGCAGAACTTCATGAAAGTTAACCTTGATGTTCGGTATTTCACGAGGGTGTCTGTGGGTTCTACAGGGGTTTTATCAGAATTCTATCAGACGTTTATATTAGGATGTAACGGACCTCTGACAGCGAGGCTCCTTCAGAGTTGAGTTCCTGCCAACACGTCCCTAAACCCTGATCCTGAACCCTCCAGCCCCAAACCCTGGACCCTAAACCTTGTCCTGAACTCGCCTGGGTTTCGGGTTCAGGTCAAACCAAACAGTCAGCTCGGCTATAGTGCATGGTAGACTATAGAACATTAAGGTACTGTAATATATTATCATATATTATAGTGCAGTACAGTATTACGTTATGGCCATTATGGTATATTACTACAGTATGTCATACTTGTATGTCAATGTAATATGTATATGGTCGTTTGTTTATAGTCTTATGGGTTCACGGGGTTCTGAACAACTGCACAACTTCGTGAGGTATTCTGTGCGCCGACGCTGAAGCTAGCTATTGGAATAAGCTGGCATGCAAATCCCAAATCGCCACTATAACATTGTACCCATTGCACGAGAACTCTGACCACACGAAGGGCGCGTAAGAACGCGTGCGGCACTATCACACGCACACCCCACCAAGATATGTGTGGATGCTTGTGTGCGCAATATGTAATGCAATGCACGTAAAAATACACATATAGAATGCCGAAACCACGACCACCACCACCGCCATCATCACAATCACCACAACAACTACAAGAACAAGAGCAGTGGCAGTGTCCGAGTGCTAAAACCTAAACCACCTACAGAAGCCCTATATAGAACGCTGTAACGAACCCTGAATCCTAAAGCACTCAGATAGCAGCCTCAATAATTACCTACACTATTCTTTGTTTTTTTTGGGGGGGTCCTTATTATAGTTACAGCATAAGATACCCCAAAACCCTATTCCAATCA